AAAGTGTTTCTGCTGATTCGCATAGCTTCGGGGACAATCCACAACGACCGGAGATCTGTTGCTGCTGCGACTACTACTACTACTACTACTACTACTACTACTACTACTACTTCTTACTACTACTACTACTACTACCACCACCACTACCACTACCACTACCACTTCCACTACCACTACTACCACTACTACCACTACTACCACTACTACCACTACTACCACTACTACTGCTACTACTACTACTACTACTACTAGTTGATGTTGCTGTTGCCGTTGCCTTTGCGGTTGCTCTTGCTGTTTTTGCGGTGGTGCGGGTGGTGTGGGTGGGTGGTGTGGGTGGGTGGGTGGGTGGGTGGGTGGGTGGTAGCAGTAGTAGCAGTACTGTAGCAGTAGTAGTAGTAGTAGTAGTCGTCGTCGTCGTCCTCCTCGTAGTAGTAGTAGTAGTAGTAGTAGTTAGTAGAGTTAGTAGAGTGTTTAGAGTTAGTAGTCAGCAGTCAGTAGTTAGTAGCTAGTAGTTAGTAGCTAGTAGTCAGTAGTTAATAGTTGTAGTAGTAGTAGCAGCAGCAGCAGCAGCAGGAGGAGCAGTAGTAGTAGTAGTAGTAGTAGTAGTAGTAATAGTAGTAGTAGCAGCAGCACCACCTGGGCTCTGCAGTGGTGCTGAGCCCAGTGCACATGTTGGGCACCTGTTTTGAAGACCCATGGACATCCTCGGATGCGTAGTGTCAGATGGAGTGTTAGTAGGTTACTTGAAGCTAACAGTCAAGATTGTTGCCGTACTTTAAGATAGCTTGCCTGAAGAAATAGAAACCGATAAGCAGAAACAACGACTTGGAATGGGACCCATAGCGGGGTTTCTTTGATGTGGCATGTCTGATGATGATAGGCAGTTTGGGCAGGTGGGTCCGGGCACCGGTATGGTGTGGAGCATGGTTGAGTACGAAGCAGATGGAGTCAAGGAGTCATTTGCGAGATGCGGGGCTCAAAGAAACGCTGCGCTTCTCCGTGGATCAGATGGCGAAGTGGCTGACAAAGGCTCAATGATAAGCGGTTGTGCGTTACATCTTCAGCCTCAACGCTGCTCCCCGTGCGCAGGTCCCAATGACAGGCATGCCGGGACGGTATGCGGCAAACTTTTTGTTATACAGCTAGCATAGTCGAAAGACATGCTGCTCAGTGTAGCACAATCACGTCAATGTGGGATCCAGCATGGCGATTCAATTGGGGAGCTGATGTCATGAATGGCAGGAGTCGACTATTCCAACAGCGATTTGAACGCCGGTCTGGCTGCAGTGCGCAGCAGACATGGCATTCCAGAGGTTCCAGATGTCATTCGCTTAACACACTCGTGAAAACAACTTTGCCTCGGGCAACTTGCTTCAAAAGGGCTGCAATTCCCAGGTCGGCGACTTCCTGCAGGAGCAATACTTGAAAGCACGGCAAGATGACACGAAGGTGCTACATGAGTCGAAACCAGTCACAGCGGATGGAGACTTGAGAGATCTTCAGAGAGCTGCTGTCACAGCCAGTTTAACGCAGGTGAATCCGGTGCTCTTAGCCTGCCGCACCCCGGCGGTGACCACTGTGCAAAGTGCGATGCTACGTAGCAACTGTTCGCAGCATTTCGGTCGAAGAACTCTTCTTGAAAGGCAAAACTCGGTCCAGCTAGTGGCTGCTGTCCTGGTAAAAGTTTCGGAAGCCCGTAAGGCGAGCTGCATGCGTTGGCGAACACCTGCTGCGGTGCTGCAGCATCTGCCGCTTTTCTGAATCCAGTTTTTTTTCCGCCCTCTTCCGGGCAATACCTGAGCAAATCTGCAGCACATCATCATGATATTGCATCTGTCGTGGCAAGCTCGCACTGGTCCACCTGCGGTTTGTAGCGGGTGGTTGCCTTATTTTGCGCCTCAGGCATATCAATGCAGTTTGACCCTTGCATTGCACTTTCCGGGCAGACAAGTTTAACGAAAACGATGCCATTCATCATGAACAACTCGTAGCACATGTTACACACGATGTTTTGACAAGGAGTGTGTGATGCAGCTGGTGCGGTGTCTTCAGTAGTAGGTGGTTCCTGTGCCATCCACCCGGCCGAAGAAACACCGTTACACTTCCACAAACGTGCTCCCATGGTTGGCGTGCATGAATCGGGAACATGAGATCCCAGCAATGGCAGGGCAGTGCCTTCGGGCATTGCATGTCAATCCTGGGAGCATGGCTCGGCTGTAGAACCGTGTGTGGCGAGTTCATCGAGGATTCCTATGAAAGCTCTGTGACAAAGTCCCTTAGTGTTCTTGTGGGTGGAGCGCATCGTCAACCGGATCAACAGCCACTTGTCCAGGCCCGTGTGTCCAAAGCTATCTTCCAAGACTCCCTTTCTTTCGACTTCAAGGCCGTTGCCAGGCACTGGCGAAGTGAAGCAGGTGACCTGGAGAAGTCCGTAAAGATCTTCGTCCATCCTGTACCCAAGTGTGCTGGGGAGGAGCTCCTGGAATTCTTCATTTCGCGGGGTCATGGCAGCGGCTTCGGTTGGACTCGTGCGGTCCAGCTACATGCTGTGCACATAAAAGCCGTCCATAATGCCATCATGGGCTCGCCGGCACGCGTGGAAGATCCGGAAGACGCAACTGTCTTTTACATCCCAGCTTTCCCTAGCTTACTTGTCGAACGGTATATCGATGCTGAAGAGGGGAAAGTGGATGTGCTGAACTGTATGTCAGCTTCGTGGGCTATGCTTCGGGAGGAGTTCTTTCTTCGGAATGCCGGCTACGACCATTTCATTTCAGCTGGCACTTGTCACCCCTATTCAATTTGCAGTGCGCTCGAGTGCGATGTGACCAATTTTCACCCCTTTGCGGTGAATGTGTTTGCTTTGGTTGGCGGGGTGCGGGAGATGGTTCACCCGGACTTCATTTTCACGCCCGGGAAGGGCTTTCAGAGACTGCGTACAATCATCGTCCCATTCCCCGTGACGCTGGATTGCGAGAGGCTCCTTCAGCTATCAAGCCCTGAGAGGGTCCGATCGATTGATGTGGCATTTGTTGGCACAGACAACTCGCGGGTGCGACGCATCTTCAAAGAGCTCATGGAAGATTCAACTTTGTCTTACAGCAGCAACCCCCGCCTTCATATAGAAGTTCTCCCAGATGATGACGTCGGAGAGGGGGCACGTAAGCTCGCTTTGGGGTCTGTGGGAACCGGCGGAGACAAGTCTGTGGATGAGCTTTACTCTAATTCTCAGTTCTGCTTAATTTTGCCCGGCCACGTTTACGATCTGGGTCGGCGAGCGTACGACGCAATGGCCAGGGCATGTATTCTGGTCATAGTTGCTTTAGAGCCGATGTCCGTCGCCGTACCCTTTGCCTGGCAGATGCCTTGGGATGAGGTTGCGATTTTTACTTCAATAAGAAGTCTGCAGGATGCTGCGAAGGTATTGGACACTCTGAGCACAGCTGCAGATGAGGAATCTGGTAGAGAGAGGATCGCGGCGCGTCGAAAGGCCATGTTGAAGTACCTTCCAAGACTTTTCTTGCCGCCGCACAAGAACTGCATGCCGGGAATGCCTACTGCTATGGATGGTATACTGCGAGAGATAGCAGTGCGACAAGCGGCTTGGGCATCCATGTCGACAGCCAGGTCAAGCAAACAGTCCACTGCTGGCCAGTTGACAGTGTAAACACACTGCGCTCGGGAATCTGTTGCGGAAAGTACCTCATGAGCATGTGATTCGCCCTCTGGACGTCCAGACATTCTGCGTTGTCCTCTGCTCATTCGTCTTTTCCTTGCTTTCGGGCAGTTTATTGCACGAAAAGGGGTCTCTCACATCAGCAAGCGCGGGCACAGACTGCTACGATGAGCGGCTAAGGACTACTTGGGCAGGGCAGTCTCCAACCTTGCATCTTGGCCATTTGTTGGAGTGAATTGTGAATGACTGCTTCGAGGGATCTCCAGAACCCACCCCTTTTTTCCCTTTTCAATGTTTTGCACATGAGGAGAAGTTCGGCAAAAGCTTGGAATGCACTGATGGGCAGCACTTCGCCGCGTTGCTTCAATCGGAGGCTTGTCGTTCATGGCGTGCTGGGCGGGCTCTGCTGTAAGTACCAGGAAGCTTCTAGTAGTCATTCTGCAGACTTCTTGCTCATGCGGACCGGACAGTGCGTGTCAGTCAACTGTGGGGCACCATGAGAGCAGGGCACTGGCTTGCAGGCTTAAGGAGAAGTGGCAACCCCCATCTTGAGCTGAGCTGTGCTGTTGAGGCTGCCGTGTTGGAGCCCTGCGAATGGGCTCGCAAGGAGGAAATGCTGCAGCCAAGCTTCCTGGTCACTTGGATGTGAATCGTTCACTTATGACACCTACAGAGCTTCAAGAAACAAGGCATCTCCGGCTAAAGGGCAGGTAATGCCTCTCTGCTGCACCCAGCACAATATTCAGCTCTGGGAATGCTGTTGTGCCTCGACGAGGGTCTGACAGGTCGTCTTCTGCAGCCCTGCGCCACCCAAGAACGCAAGCTTGTGCAGATGCTGCCCGATTGCTGCCTGTTTCCCAGGTGGGCAGCACGCAACATCAACGTTCCGCAAAGCCTGGCATGGATGGAGCTTCAGACCACAATTGGGAGCTCGATTGTTTCAACATGACACTTCTGATAGTCTTGGTGCCCAAGAAAACACATAATTAGTTGCCGCTCCAAAGCCCGTCATGGCTTTGAGTGGTTCTGCTATACACCTTGGACTCTGCTGGTGTTGCTGTCATGTCTTGCGGCGTTTCTTTGTGGCGCGTGCCCTTGTCTCTGTCTCTGAGGGTGGGCGTGGCATGCGTGCATACATACTCTTTTTCATAGCACATTTTATCGCCGATTGCTGCCGGCTACCCAGCGGCTACCAATCTTCAAAGGTTGAAAAAGCTCCAAATGCAGGCAGCAGAAACCTCTGCTGCAAGATATCAAGATTATGGTATAGTAGTATACACAAGTGGAACATACGTCCAAAGACGCGGTGGCCGCGTGCATCCGGTTTTGTTAGACAGCTGCTCTCAGGGAGGGTCAGAGAGCAGCCCATCAGGACACATTCATAACCTGCCCAGGAAAGTGGCTTGTGGATCGGCGACATCAAGTGACGCTTTTCTCTGCAGCCCGGAGAAAGAAACCCTGCAAATTCTTGGGACCGAGGTAGTGCATGTTGCAGGACTTCTTTGTGTGCATTCATTTCAGTCTACTTCGTAATCATGCGACATGCTTTGCTGATGACTCGAGATTGTGCCTTAGTGCACGGGTCTGAGTGACAAGTAGATGGCAGGGTCGTGTTGTGCCGACGGTGTGGTTTCCCTGACAGGATCATTTTGGGCAGCGAGGTGCAGTGCCGAGCAGACTGCGCCGAAGAGCACATCACCAGCTTGAGGCCGCGGATTGTTCATTTTCAGAATGGTACAGCTTCCCGTCTTACACTCCACGTGACAGGGGTCTGGCCACGGGAGGCCACGAAGTTGCTGCAACCGCAAACCCAAGGCACGTGAGGGAAAACGCCCAAAAGTCAGATGCTTGCGAGCTTCCTTTTGCACAGGAGGTTTGTATTGCAGACCAATCTGCCGACAGTTGGAGGACGTTTTGGGAACCATGGCAACCATGAGCAGTGCTACAGTAAGTCGCCGGGTTGATTGGCTTGAGTGATAAAGTACACTTCCCCCACGACCACGACACAATCAATCTTGAGGCTCTCAACACCACACCCCCCCCCCATCTGTCAAGGAAGTTGCAGTTTCGGGTGTCTCTCGGGCTGCTTGACTGCTTGGCTCCAGGGAAGGACGTGATGTGTTCAGGTCCAAGGCACCATGGTGGCCATGGTGCGCTGCCGCATTCCTCGAGCACTCCGGGATTGAGCTCTAGGCCAACATCACAACTTGCATCGAGGACGCTTCCTGGAGCTTTGCGGCGCCCAGGATCTTGGGGCAGCCTACAGCTGACCCCTTCCCAAGACACTTTGCCCAGAGATGTCGCACGAGCTTTGCGCATGGACTTGAAACGTCCCCACACTGCCCACACAACTCAGCTGACTCAGCTGGCTAGCAGATCCAGCACAAGCTCAAAGCAGCAAAGTGCCCAGAGCAAGCTTGAGTCTGGAAAGTCCGCGGGAGGTGAGAGCATTTGTGAACTGATGGCAAAGTGCCTGGCGCCCGGACCTCAAACTGGCCAACATCACGGAGTCCTGCAGAAGGTGTCATTTTTTCAAGAAAAAATCGTGATAACTCCCGGGCCGGTGGCTGACGAAATGCAGGCCACCACCTTGGACATTGCTCGAATAGGTCACGCCGAGCTGGACTGCAGAGCTTGTTTACTGAAGCTCCGTATGGTGGCAGGAAGCCAAACGAATTGGACGGGAGGGAAAGCTCAAGCCGGCTATGTGCAAATCGAGCTGGAGCAGCCGGAGTTCGACACGCTGCGTGCCCTTGTTTGGCCGATGCTTCTGCGCTCCGTGTTTCAAAGGAAGGCTGGGCCTGGAGCTAAGCTCCATGATCCTCCAAGAGGACCGTCCCTAGTTTGGTCTCACGCTTAAAGAGTGAGGCCATTGACAGATCGTGTAGAAATGTTGTTGGTGGAAATTTAAATGCTGACATTGTTACCGTTATTTTGACCAGCATCAAAGCCCGAGATGCGGAGCGATGAAAATTTGTAGCACAATCTTGAGACACTCTGCAGTGCAAGCAGACATGATGGCGGCACGGCTGACAGGTTGCATTGGTGCGCTTAAGTGCTGTACAGACGTACATGGCTTCGTGCATATTCGGCCGCCGTTGCGAAAGCTGCCGCCTCCAGTCGCTTCGCTTCCGGGGAACAGGTGCTCTTGTTGTTGAGAGTGCCCACGACAGCACCTCGCAGGACAGCTTCCGAGCTTCGTTGTCTCCGCAGGGTCTTGGGCACCTTGGCATCATCTTAATAGCAGCCACACCTTAGGCAGACGGTTGCAAACCGGACCCGAAGTTGCGTGCTGGGGCTGTCTTTCAGAAGTCCTTCTGCCACTCATTCTCACCAGGCGACAGAAATCGAAGCATGAGTGAGACGGAAAATGCCACAGGACTGCACGAACCGTGCTTCGACGCAGAAGCTCTGGTCCAACACGGCCACAGCAATATCCTCAGTCTTCTCAGCTTAAAGCGACCTCAAAGGACTGCAAGTCGGTCAGCGGTCAAAGAGCATTGGGCTTTGATTCACCAATGGCGCGGTTGCTTTGAGCTTTGTTCTCGAAGGCCGGGCTGCGAGTTTGCGCTCAGCTTCATGGAGGCGCCGCCACCGCCCTTCGCTTCGGACGTTGCGCCACACTTCGAAGGGAGGGGAGGCCTGGGAGGCTGCCTTTGAGTCAGGCACCAGCCAGATTGGAACGCTGTCCTTCGTCAACGCAGCAGAGATGCCAGTCAGCACCTGAGAGGTCGACGCTGTTTCACATATCTCTTGCCCTCAAGAATGTGCGGACAACAGCCGTCTAAGTTCACCACAATCGCAAATTTCGATTCTGCCTATTGCGGCGTTAGGGTTGCTTCTGCTGTCTCCTGCCATGCCACGGCGCTCGCCTGCTGGTGAGTTTGGGCCAAGTTTCTGGTATCATGCAGGACTTGTTGACGTCCGGTGGCTGTTGTTGAAAATGTTACAGGTTCCCTTTTGATGCCGTTGTGTTCTACCCCAGATTAGCAGCAGTCCTGTGCAGAGGTGGCTTGGCTTCATCCCACAGCCACAGCTGTCGGTGCGCCTGCTCCAGTGGCAGCGCCTCGGTGTGCAAGATGAACCAAGCTGCTCTGTGCAAGTCTCGAAAGCAACACGAGGTGTCGTTCGTGGTTGGCTTGGAGCAGCCGCTGACTTGGATACGCATGTGGATTGGGTGGGGAATGTTCTGTTTCAGCTTGTCCCTGGCGAATTCGGGCTGGCTCGGCGAAGCTGAGCCGTTGCCAGGTCGGCAATAGATGCGACGGACGGCATGAGGCGTGCATGCGTGCATCGCTTTTGTGAGCCAGAAGGTTTTTGAACGTTCTCTTGATGCGCGGTTCCAGCTGCCTTTGCTCATGCAGTGCTGGCTGTTGCTTGTCACTGCTCACAGGCTCGTTCTGCATTTTGCCACTGCTCAGCTACAGCCACTTCAAGTTGATGGTGCTTCGGTGCTGCCAAGTACGAACCTTGTCCGCACAAAGGAACACCAGCTCGAACCCGAACCCCAGGCCCTCATGGCCCTAATATGCCCTAATATATCCTAACGCCCTACTCGCGCCTCGGGACAAGGAGCAACACCGAGCTGGAGCAGAGCCAAGCTGGCTGCGGAAGGCAGCTTCCGGGAGAGGGGCCATACATGAACACGCACACATCTGCATTCGTCTAATTACATGCCTTGATCGGTCTGTCTCTATCTTCTTATCTGTGTGTCCGTCTATCTATCCAACCAGTCAATCTACCCGTACCTACTTACTTATTTACCGATCTGCGCATCTACTTACCTATATCGAATCTAATCTACTCCGTTTAATTGTCTAATCAATCGAGTCTATCTTATCAATCTGATCTCATTATCTGCTTACCTAGCTAGCGAACTAGCTATTTATCTCTCTCTCTGTCTCTCTCTCTCTCTCTCTGTCTCTGTCCATGTAACGATCTGTCGCTCTGTTTGCCCATTTAGTTATATCTCCACAACCGCGCAAGTTCCGTTCAGGCAGTCATAGGCCATTCCAGGAAAAGGACCCTGCCCAGACCCCTTTTTCAGGCCCAGCTACGGCAAGTAAGAAGGGAATCTACCTGCCTGGCTGGGCTCAGTAAAGTCCGGGAACCCTGGACCCTCTGACTGCCTTGTCCTCCTGCTGTGACCCTCCCTCTCCCTCTATCTATCTGTCTGTCTCTCTCCCTCTCTGTCTCTCCCTCTCTGTCTCCCCCTCCCTGTCTCTCCGCTCTCGCTCTCGCTTGCTCTCTCTCTCTCCCTCTCTCTGTATCTCGCTTATCTATCTATTTATCCACCCTGCCTACCTATCTGTTTATCTACCGACCGACCGACCGACCTACCTACGTACCTACCTATCTACCTATCTATCCATAGCTAGACATGGCCATATGTTATATATACATACATAGATCTGTAGGTACATAACTCACTTATGGATACATGTGATTCGTCTGTCTGTATGAGTGCATGTAGCATGTGTGCATGCATGCATGCATGCATGTCTGCATCGAATGTGCATTCGGAGGTGCATCGGCATGTATGTGTTTATGGCTGCATGAATGCATGGGTGGAAGGACGGATGGATGGATGGATAGATGGATGGATGTGTGCATGAGTGTGTGGTGTGTGTGTGTGTGAGTGTATGCATGCATGACTGCATGTATGAATGTAAATATACTGGGTGTAGCAAGTGGACGTACTTGTACAACATGACATGCCCATGTAGAAGTAGTACAACCGATAAAACTCGCAGGTAGAATTATACAGTTCTGTGTACATGACACAAATGCAGTTGTCTGTGGGTTTATACAGAGGTCCATGCGTCGCCCGGCCAAGGTTGATCAAAGAGCTATGGGCCAACGACAGCCACTTTCCAATGCCCAGGTGCCTAAGCCCGCCTGCACTAGAACTATAGGGTGGTGGAGGCTGTAAAGCTCAATGCTCGATGTGTGACTTTCTCGGGCGAGGTTTGTGCAGAGGCCTTATGTACACATCGAAAAGACTGTGTGCATGTGTATCTTGAACAGCGAATTCATCTCAATTTCCTGGCTTACACTTCTGGACTTCCTGGTGCTACTTCTTATGCTTGAACCACAGCACTTCACGATTTTCTGCCATAATCAGTTGGATCGTGCCACTACTTTTTTACACTAGCCGGCACGTTCATTTGGGTTTCAAAGTACGGGTGTAGCTTGTAGGTTTACACCTGGCAAGCGTGAACCTCCTCGTCTCACGAGAAGTGTTGCGAAACTTCAGCCTGTGACCACGCCATCTTGTGGCAGGGGCTGTAGCTACCGGACGTCAGGAGAATCTCGGCACTCAGAATAGTAGGATCCTCAATATGTAAAGCCCCCTTTAATCGTAGGTACCCGGCAGCCCAAAGCCAAAACCCTAGCCACGGGCCATGGCGTCTTGTGGGTTTTGCCCCGCAGCTAAGGAAGAAGCAGAGCTGCAACTGTCCGGCTCTCGGCTTTCCATCTCTCCACACGGGCACAGAACCATGTTGTCCAGGTCTTTCGGTTCGGGAAATGATCTTCGCCCCGGAGTTACGTATCAGATCATTTTTATGGCGTCTCGACTTAACACTAAATCGGAGAGCAGCATGCGTCGTGACACCGCCCAGCATGCTTCCACGACGGAAGTTTGTGTATGTGTATAGAGGTTATCCTCAAGCTCGGCGCGACGACTGCCAATTCTGGTTTGGAACTTCGGTGCGATGCTTTGCAGCTTGTGTTTCTGGCAGACCCCGCTGGCGAGCATGAACGAGGCTCATGGGTAGTGATGACAACTTCGTCCATGAGCTTGGCAAGCCAAAACTGAATCGGCTGAACACCTAGAGAGTCTCGAGATGGAGATGCAGGGTCGAGGGTGCAAGGAGTTGCGATGTAGGGGCCGGGTGCCCTGAGGCCGTTGACAGCTGGTGCGGAGTTCCCCGATCCCCGCCTTGCAGCCGAGGCAGGATGTGGCGCTGTGATTTTGAACACAAGGTTAGAAGAGTGGTCCAGCTGCAATAGAAAGCACTCAAGCAGGTCGTGGGTGGGTCCAATGGACTGGTTGAGCTTACAGAGGCGGGTTTTAAGCAGCTCAAGATCTCTCAAAGCTCTCCTCTTTGCAAACTTCGAAGGACCAGGGGCCAAGCTTCGACTTGCGCATCTCTCCCGATGCCCCACTGCACAACATGTAGATTTTATGAATGTGCGTGTAAGATTACCAGGATCTTTCAATTTCAGAGTGAACTCAGGAAGTCGGGGAACCCATCCCGAGTGGCTCCCTACTGCGGGTGTTCTTGAGCCCCTGCGCTGCACGTTGCACCACCTGCCTAGTTACTGGTTCTAATGCTGAAGGCTGCAGCCCGATTGACTGGAAAGGTCCTTTGACGGCATGGGCGAGCTGGAGCTCAAGCTGTACTACAGCTTCCGAGCTGTGGGACGCCAATACCACCCATCGTGCTGATCTACCTTGCGAGGCCCTGTTGTCGGGGTCTGCGGGCTCGGGGCGCCTTGGAGTAGAGTTGCAAGGGGCTGCTTGTCAGTATCTGAAATTCTTGCGATCCCTGAAGCTGCATTGCTCAGCTCCTTTAAGTGTTTTTTCTCTACTTCCTTTGGTGTCCAGTAGGCGCCACACAATTGTCTGTCCCTGCAGCGCAACATTGCATAACTGGGCTGACTGGGTGTGAGGCACAGAAAACTAGCCCTAGCCCACTGCCAGGTGTCATCCCTCGTGGCTCCCATGGCCTTCAGCAACTTGTTGCACATAGCGCTCCCGAACGTTTCAATGGCAGCGGGGGTGAGGCAGGCTAGCAACGTCATGCAAGCAACTGGCTGTGGCATGCCAGAGCTGCCTCTTCCTTGCAGCTGTGGAGGCTTGAGATCCACGTCGGAGGGTTGGCGAAGCCTTCAGGCATCTTTTCGAGAAGCCAGGAGTTGCAACGTGTCGACACTCTGAAAAGGAGGCTTCTTTCCAGAGCAGCTGGCCGCAGAGCTCCGGCCAGATACGACCAAGCCCCACTACGCCCTCTGACTGCATCCCAGTGCCTGAACATCTGGTGGCAGATTTTTGAACTCAGGTCCGAGCTTCCGGAAGTCTCTGGGCCTGGCCGCTCGGCCAAAGGAAGAAAGAGGAGGGAGAGAGAGAGCTGAGAACAAAATTGCGCCAGAGTCAGTCTGTGTTTTTGATGTAGAGGCTACCACGCAACTCCAGCATTGCGGGCATTGTCTCTTGCACCGTGTGTGGAAACATGGCTCCTTTCAGCTCCGCGGCCGCAGTTTGGGCCGCATCGCGATGTGCAACTGTGAGTCGATGTATTTGTTTCTCAAGTTTGTACTGGGTGAGTGGGCGCTATCCTTTGGTGGATTTGCACATTGGCCTTGGGACGTTGCATGTTCCCAGTCCAACCTTTCACGCAGTAAATGCCAATCACGAGGAAGCGAGACGAATAATCTTCTCGTCCGTTTTGCCCTGGCTGCGACGCTGCGCTCCGTCGTGGATGATGATGACTCATCAGGTCACTGTGGCAACGCTCTGGTTTGCTTGATGTAAAAATCGTATCGGCATTCGAGGGCTGACAGATTACATGTTGCATTTTCAGCATCCACCTTGTGCTGACTTTGTATACGCTAAGAGGCAGGAGCCTCGGCCATCAAGTCAGGTGAGGCACGCTTGTCTTTGACGGCCCCGGACGGATACATCTTGAAACAGGCCGACGCGTCAGGAGCCCGGAAGATGTCACGGGTGCAGCTCGCATCAATGTTGACTTTTCAGCTGCACCCCAAGACGTTCTGCAGCCGTTCCCAATCGAAAGCAAAGTTGCTCTGTCAGAACTCCGCATTCCCTCTTTGAGTCCCATTCAGCATGTCATCGCTCGCGGCTCAGAACGTCTCGGGTCTCTACAGAAACCGCCCCTGTAGTCCTCCGGCGAGTCGTGCTTGAGGTTCATGCAGCGAGAGATGGAGCTCCAGATAGCGGATGAGGGGCTCGCCGGCAATGAGCCCGCGAGCCCCGATCACAATCCCAAGAAGCACGCTGAGGTGTGGGCATATGCTCCAAGCTGGGGTTGTGACAACTGCCTGCTGCGAGGCGTGTCACGCTTCGTCGACACCTTTGTCGCAAGCCCTGGACTTGGCCTAGATTCTAGATGTACTGCACGTGATGCAATCTATAGCTAGTACCGGTCCATGCCCAGGCGAGCACTGCTCCGTGTTCCCCTCAGTCTTTGAGAATCTGCATGTCAGCACGGATTAAAAGACAAGAGACATCTGCTGCCGAGAACGACGCCCAACATGCAGTTTCGCCTTCCAAGCCTCAGCCTCGATGGAGTGGCCTAGCTGCAGCTGGCAACCGCTGATGTTTCGTCGCTAGGGGGCCGTTGGAAAGCCTTCGCCCTTAGTTTGGTGCCGAAAGCTTTTAAGAGGCTTGCAGCCACGTCGCATTTGCAGAGTCGAGTCGTAACTTTAGCAAACCAGGACAAACTTGTCCACCACAACATGAGTGGCTTCAAAGTCTCAGACCGTTTTGACAGTAGGCCGCAGTGGATGTCTCTGCGCCCCTGCTTGAGCTAAGTTTCATGACGAGCACTTCCCGCTGCTGACGAGGTCGGGCTGACATGCATGCAAGCCCGAGTTTTGTTCCTGACTTGATTAGTGGCAAGGCAATTGTCCATACCGGAAGACGAAGGACTGCTGCGGGAGATGCCGCTACGGAGCGTAAGCCGGGCATGTCACCATTCAGGAGCAACCTTTGAAGCACCCGACATGTTCCAGGCGGGGGAACAGGGACATGGCATTACCATATTTTGTTCTCTCACTTGCAATTCGAGCTAAAGCGGATGAGCACCTGGTGGTGTCCTGTCATTGTCCAGCAATCTTGCAGCAGGATATTAGCGAGCTTTACATGCAAAAATACGGCAAGTATTCCAAGGCTGGAGCGGCAGACAGACGTGACGACCGTTCTTCAAAAGTTGCTGCATTCATGCAATGCAGGAGGACTCGGCCTACCGTGATGATGACGGTGCTCCAGGCACAAACCTTTGGCTGCGTGTCGCCGGTTAGGAAGACCCGAGTCGATTTCTGCAGTATCCTGGTCCTCCTTCCTGATGTGAGGTGGCGCCAACACGCGGCCACGTTCGTCCAAGGAGTCAGAATCCGGTCCTTGGGGCTGGGGCATATAGGATGAGGTATGCATGCATTCAGTTCACGACCTGTTCAGAACTGGATTTGCTGGATCAAGGAGTCACTGCAGTCCCTGCTGGCTGAAGTCAAGGAGCCTTCATGTTACACCTGCCACGTTGTGCTTGTAATCATGAACTGAAAGGATCTGTACGAGCAAAAGTATGGCACCACCTTCGACCAGTCGCAAGCAAGCGAGGACTCGCACAGCCGGATAGCCGGTAGCAAGCCCCGTGTCAGAGCCCATGATGAATAATAGGAGCTCGATGTCACACAGGCCACCTCGGCACTTTCGCGCGCACGCACGTTGTGCCTCCCTTCACAGTATAGAGGTCTCCGATTCGCAGGTGCTGACATCGGGACGGGGTAAGTGGTGCTCTAACACTTCCGCACCCATCCATTGGTCCATTCGCAGACATGCCGCACATGCTGAGCCCATGCTGTCGAAACGGGTGAGTCTTATAGGGCTCGTATGTATGTAGGCGCGTTGGTATGTATGTGTTTATGTGTATACGTAGGCAGGCACTGCACGCATATAAGTGCGTGCAAGTGCGAACGTGCGCGGGCGGGTGTGTGTGTGTGTGTTTTTTTTTTGTTTGTTTGCTTGTCTGTCTGTTTGTTTGTTCTTTTGTTTTTGTTTTCGTTTGCGTGTTTGCGTCTTTGTGTGCTTGTTTGTTTGTTTGTGTTTGTTTGTTTGTGTGTGTGTTTGTTTGTGTGTGTTTTTTTGTGTGTGTTTGTTTGTGTGTGT